CCACCACAAATATCACAAAAATATCTCAATTATCGTGGTGCTAACTTTATTCCAATATTATGCCTTTTACGTGAGAAGCTTTTTAATTTAGCCAACGAATGTCCTACTTCTGGGACGTTGAATCAGCAAACAATTCTGTGTGTTTTAGAGAATATTGTTAAGCAGTCTTTTACGGATTCCATGATGAACACCATACCTCTATTATTAAGGACAATTACAATGAAGTCTGAAGTTCAACAGCTTCACCATTTTTTATCTGAATTTGTGGAATACATAAATCTCAATCAAGAATTTTCGTTTAGCGATACATTTGTTATTGATTTATCTGTGTGGAGTCCATTAAATACAGCTGTTGACCAATTACTTTCGAGCCCAGAATCTGAAACATTAAAAGAAGTTGATATCTTTAAACTTATAATGGCCAAAATTTCTAGAAAAAGTTCTGCTTTAAATTATGCAGCTCATATTTTTCATAATTGGAAAAAAGATACTCCTGCGGAAGTTGTATTTGAACATTCTAAAATGTTATTTGCTCAAGGATTATATCAAGAAGCCATAGTCCGTGTATGTTCACTTTTGCGCGATGAGCAACATCCATCCTGTGCATTTTCTGAGGCTCTAATTTTTCGTCAAAACGTGCTTTTAAAATTGGCAAAATGGCTACAACATACAGAATCTCAATTAGACAGCGAGACTTTATCTGATTTACATCTTATTCTCGGAAAGTATATTGGTAGCCAAGGTTTGAATGAAAATAATTTAGAACCAAATTTAATAAATAGTAACCTGGTGGAAGCATGCTTATTTAGTGCAATTAATGAAGAAACTTCTACTGCGAAGGCTTGGTTTGCCTATGCTTCATATCACTATCAGCATAGCCGACAAATAGTTGATGAATTAGGCAGCTATAAGTTATCTATTGACTTATTGAACACTATTAACAGAAAAATTCAGCAAGTTTTAACTAATGATTGGAAAATTTCAAATGGTGATAATCTTACTGATTGTGATATGATAATAAAAGTACTTTTATTCCTTCTGTTTTTAGTGTTGTCTTGACCATATTGCAAGTATGTGACATTGTATTCTTTTACATTTAATTAAATATAGAACATATTTCGCATGTTTTTACGTAAAATCAGTTCTCTGTCAAGGTTGGACCAAGGCGGTGATAATGTGTTAGATTTCAATGCAACCCTTCCTTGGATTTCACAAAATTCAATCGATGAGATTACAAATTCATTAAATAAAATACAGAAGGCGCTCTTCATTGCTTATAAATCGGCTGTTGATGGCTATTTCCGATTCTTACAGTCTGCACATGGAAGAAATAGTGTCCAAAATACTCAAGCTGTAACTTAAATGGTTTATTGAATTGTTTAAACTAGTTAAAATAATATGTATTAAATTTTTTTATTTTTTATAGCATCTTCCCGTAGAACGTATCGAAGAGTCTGATATAACAACCGCAACTCTAAGGATTTTAAGATTACTAGTGAAGCATGGACTGCTTTTTGAAGAATCGTTTGTCGAAGGGTTTAACAATACTAATATTCGTTCATGGGAAAATATAACACCGCAATTGTTTTCGCGACTGGACCATCCAGAACCTTTCGTTCAGCAGCAGCTTTGTAAACTTTTATGTTCGATTGCTTCTGTTTCGCCACAGCTCGTTGTATATCACACTGTTGCTGCCTCAAATTCTAGTGGCACTAGCGACTTAAATAAGCAACTACTCCAAAGAATTGCTGACAGTCTTGATAATTCCAATGGAACATTGATCATAGAAATTCGACGTGTGATTGAAGAGTTACAACGCATTACGGTCTTGTGGGAAGAGCTTTGGCTCAATAAAATAAGTGGTTTACAACTTGATGTTAACAGACGATTTCACAAATTTGAACGCGAATTCGAGAGAATAAATGATAATCTTAATCTTTCTTCCGAACAACGTAATAAAATTATGAAAGAAAGTTACGACGCTATTATGAAGCCAGTGATTTTATCTATCGATCGATCATACAATAGTACTATTGCTGCTGCTTCAACACATCATGAGAAATGGTTTTGTCGGACTTTTGGTAATCGTATTCATGAAGCCTTGGAAGCCCTACGTTCTCCATTTTCATGGGAATCATATAAAACGGGTTGGGATCTTCTGCGCAATGTACGTAAATTGTTGTTATAACGATCCTGAAATCCCCTATATTTATTTATCTGAATTTATTTACATTTTTTATTAAGGTTCACAAAGATTTATCGAAGGAATTAATGTCAAATCGTTCATTAAAGTTAGTTGATGTTAGTCCATTTTTGGCAACGATAAAATCTTCCGCAATTGCCATGCCAGGCTTACCATATCATATGGATACAGTGACAATCCAATCATTTGATGAAAATTTTATTATTCTACCCACAAAAACTAAGCCCAAAAAATTAGTTCTTCTTGGGTCTGATGGGCGACAGTATGGCTACCTTTTCAAAGGCCATGAAGATCTTCATCTTGACGAACGGATTATGCAACTATTAAAAATTACTAACGATCTGCTCAAGAGGGATAGGCAAACGAGCGCCCGGAATTTACGTGCACGTAATTATGCTGTCATCCCTTTAGGAAACCACTCGGGAATGATTCAGTGGGTAGAGAACGCTACTCAAATATTTGTACTTTACAAAAAGTGGCAACATCGTGAACATTTTGCCAAAGTCTTACAAAACAACACTGATGAATCAGTTGGAAACCCGCAGCGGCCTAGCGACATGTATTTTGAAAAGATTGGCAAAGCTCTAAAAAAAGAAGGTTGGCCTGCTTCCACTTCGAGGCGTAATTGGCCTCACTCTGTTCTCAAATCGGTGTTTCTTGAATTAGTATCAGAAACACCTTCAGATCTACTTGAAAAGGAGGTCTGGGCATCTTGCTCAAGTCCAAAAGAATGGTGGATGAAAAGTACCTCTTTGTCACGTTCGCTTGCAGTCATGTCCGTTATCGGCTACATAATTGGTCTGGGAGATCGTCACTTAGATAATATTTTGATAGACTTTGAGTGCGGGGAAGTTATTCATATTGATTATAACGTGTGCTTTGAAAAAGGAAAGAAACTTCGAGTTCCTGAGACAATCCCTTTTCGCCTTACACAAAACATTGAAACTGTACTTGGAGTTACTGGAGTTGAAGGTGTCTTCAGAATCGCGTGCGAAAATGTCCTTAGTGTGTTGCGGGAAAATAAAGAAATGCTAATTACATTGCTCGAAGCATTTGTATATGATCCGTTAGTTGATTGGCATCAAGACGTATCTGAAGACCGCGAAAAACAAATTATGGAAATTGAAGAAAATATAGGATTGTTAATTTCGAGAATTGGTAATATATATATATATTATTTTTTTTTTTTTCAAATTTGAGTTTCAAGATTATACAAATAATGCATGCACTTTTAGCCGAACTTAGGATTCCCCTTGAGAATAATCAAGGACATATTTCAAATCTATTATCCGAATTTCTCACAGTTTTCAAGCATATATGCGAACATTACATGAATTTATATAATCAGCAGGCGGAATTATCTGAGCAACCGAGTCAAAGTCATAAGATCGAAATTCGGGAATCTGCATTCATTCACAGCCAAATTGAATTAGAAAGTCTAAAATCTGCTCTCTCACAAAGAGCTAATGAATGCGCTCTGTGGCATGCACAACACGAGAAAACTATACAGTCTATTCAAGGGCCTACTCTTCAGATTATTTATAATGAAATTTTTTCATCAAGTTCACAAATAGGAGCATCTATTTTCACTCCATTTTTGCAAATTCTTGCCACAAATGAATTCATGCTCCAAAGGTGCAGCAAAATTGAGCAAGAATTCATGAGCTGGATGAATGAGCGCAACGCAGCTTTCAAAAATTGCCTTGAACGTTTGCAATTTTACAGGACTTTAGTCGTTCCTTTAGTTCCTGTGTTGATGATGCAAGATTACTATTCTAAATGGCCTCAATTATTGATCTCTTTATTAGAATCGTCATTTTCAAGTCAAGACTTCCATGCCCTATATCAAAACTCTAGTTTGCCAATTGTCTCCGGCAACGCGCTGAATCATATTCGCGACGATCTTAAGATATCTTATGCAAATGCTGTACAGGAAAGCGTATCTCTTGTCGAAGCATTAGCTTTGGTTACAGACAAAACGGCCATAAGCGAATCAACGCTGCACACTATGTTGAACAATATGCTCAGTGAAGAAAATTCTACAAGCTTAGATTCACGCCTTTCATGCTTAGCGAGTGTGCTGTCTTCACTACTTGAACTTCATCAGTTCTTTAAGGAATCCAATGATATATCTGATGTGTTCAGCCATGTCGGATTTAGCGTTAATTTTCAGACTGTTGTTAAAGAAACTCTGTCTAATGAAACTCTCGATAAATCGTCATTTTTAACATACTTAATCATTTTATTGTCCATTTATCATCATATTCAAATTATTAAAAGTAAGTTTATTGTCTTTTTCCTCTTCTAGTTACAAAATAAATAATCAATTGGTTTACATATATATATTTTTTTGGTTAGTGAAAATTACTGATGATGAAATATTTGGTCGAACATTGGCTATTGCCACTGAACTTTTACAATCAGTTCGAATAATTCTTAGTTTGCAACATAATTTTGTGAATATTATATTACCTAAAATATTTCTTTTAATGCATGGTTCACCACAAGCTTTTGAACCTTTTGCCGAAATATTACGTAACCTATCTACAGATACGTTCAATTATTGGGGAATGAAGCATCCAGAATCTCATTATGCAGTGAATTCTATGGTAATTGATCAATACGTCTTTTACAAGTATATTCTTAATTTATTAAATTTCTGATCACTATATTTAAATGTAGAGTGAAACATTTAAACGGCTCGGTGAACATGCATATAGAGAAGGGATTTCGCAAGCTGTTCACTTGTTGATTATCGAGTTCGATGAACTATTCAATGGTTTGAGAGATACGTTGCTCAAAGTTCAAGTAAGCTTGACTTTAATTTTAGTTAAAAGGCATATGTGTACCAATTAGAATCAGATTAAGTCTTAAATTAATTTGAACTAGATTCTTCTTAAAGAGCTTAAAGAACACAGTCTACCTAAAGATGGTCAAGAGAATTTAATTGAAGACTGCCTTATTGATAATTATACTGTTCATAAACTTAATGTGAGTTTTAATTTGAGTTTATTATTAATCTCGTGTTTATATTTACATTGATTTTGTCGATTCAGGTTATAGTTTGTGTCTTGCTGGCATGTGAAGATTATTATAAAGAAAATTCCCAAACCCATCTAAGCACTGTCTGGGTGTCATCAATGGTTACGGCTGACGCTTTTAAGAATAGTTCTGACTCACTCACTAGGCTTTGGCAAGTTTCGCGTTGGTGGATTTCGGAACTTTTCATTCCATGTGTAAAAACTCTATACACGATCGCAATCGACCATATAGGTTCTTTAGTTAGAACCGGCAATGAAGACATAAACCTAACACTTGATAATTCACCCATAAATAATCTTATTTCACAAGGATTGGTATCTAATGATGATATCAGCGCTCAAAAACTTAAAATCAAACAGTATTCTTTCCACGGCTGCAAAGTGAATTTTATCACGATGGTAAGATGTTTTTTAGGATGCTTTTGTAAATTTTATTTTTGTCTCATTTATTATTTTTGCAATTTTTAAGATAAATCTACGAAAAACTCAAATAGAAATAGAACTACAACACCGCCAAATGGAACTAATGCGCTTCGAATGGATTAACGAAGCATTGATAGGTGACAACAGTTTAATCCGACAACAAGTAATGATTTGTTTTTTGTAAATCTATATTTATGTCGTAATAGCTGGTATGGCGTTATATCGAAAATCAGTTCTTTTAAAAATGGGTATTTGATTTAAAAATAACTCTCATGGTGCCTGTAATAATGTGCACTTCATATAATATATTAACGGATTATATATTATAATAAATAGGCTCAGAAATGAGCCTTTTTTTCTCGAAATAACGCTCATAAACGTACTCGAAATAGCTCGCAGGTGCCCGCTATTTCGAGTTATTACGGCATATATGCTTACATTCATAAATCTGATCTTAATTTTGTTTTTAATTTAAGTTCCTACAAAACTTGACCCAAGACGTGAATCGATTTGTTTTGCTAGAAAATCTTTTACAAGAATTAGTCTCGCAATATAGGGTTATTAACGCAGAAATTGCGGATTTCATTGCCACTCAGATTGTTAATGAAAATACAGGAGAACTATTACGTTCATTCGGTGATGCAGTAGCAAATCAGCAAATGATTTTTGCTCAAGAATTTGAAAGGGTAAAGTACTCAATATTCCAGTTTTTTTTTTTCTTTTTTTCCTACAAAGTTCTAAACGAAGAAATCTAACTTATATAGATGAAACATGTCGTTAGCTTATGTAATTCAATATTGCATTTGGAAACCTTCCGCACAGTAACAGATAAAACTGTAGCAATGGATGCAGATACGCTTCAACTAGTTAAAAGACTCGAGTCAGCGGTACAAGGGTAAGTGTAAGCGTACCATTACAAACGTTATCATAATCTGAGCTAATCAAACCATTTTTGAACCCTTAGAAGCTCCAAGTTGAGCACTGCTAGTTCACAATTGGATATCACGCAACAACTCTCAACATTAAAGGTAAATGATGTTTACTTTAAAATAAGACATCTAATTACATGCTTTTGTTCACTAACATAATTATTAAACTCTAGATTGATGAATCTCTTGATATGGATTTACTCAGAAACCTTGAAAATATTGCCAAGAATCTTCGAACCATAGTAGAAGAAGTTCGTAATTTAATTGGCGAATTATTCCCTCTTGTCGAACCTATAGCAAATTTTGAAATGGATACAACAGATGACAGTGGCAAAGATGCACGTTTAAAAGCGAAGGTAACTTACGGTTTAGATTTTTTATTGCTAATATGCAAGATAAGATTAAATTAATTTGAACTTTATAGGAATTTGTGCGCGAGTGGTCAAAATTCGACTCGGATTTTGATACAGCTATTAGTGGTGCTCTAGCAGTTGTTGATCGGCGATTCCATCAGAAAAATAATTTTTCAGAGTCGGATTACACAGTAATGGTTGAAAACCTTCGTCGTGACAATGTAAATTACCATTTCTTAGTTTCAGTGCTCTGATATACTTATCCCAAATCTAATAAAATCATCATATTTATTGATTATTAGGAACGAGCTATATCATATCTAACTGAAACTATTATCAGGGTTTTTGAAAACCTATTTACTTTAGGCGAAGTATCTGGAACTATTACTCAAAACGGATCATCTCAGAAAATATCCCCTGAAAACATTGAGAATAAGAATTCTAGTGATTTTGCTCAAGCAAACACCGGAACGGAGGATATTTCAAAAAATACTATCGCTGGGCAGGCTTTATTACCAAGTAACGAAGAGACTATGGAAAGCTGGGATGTTCCTATGCAACAAGGTATGACTTTTAGAAACCAAATAAATTTTTATTTAATGAGTGCTTCATAATTGTAATTGCAATTTATTCATTATATGCATCAGCTCAAACACGAAACGCTTTTGCAGTTGGAATAATCAGACGGATCAAGGCGAAGTTGGAGGGAAAAGATTTTGAATCTACGACCAAAATGACCGTTCAGGAACAGATTGATAAAATTATTCAACAATCACTTGACATAGACAATTTATGTGTGATGTATGAAGGATGGACGCCTTGGATTTAATAAAAAAAATTTTTTAGAAAAATAAATTATCAAATATTATTAAATAATTAAAATATTAAAATTGTTAATTAATCCGAATAAAATAAATCTGATTATTTTAATATTACTTGATCTGTATTCCAGACAAATTGTCTGGAAAATTAATGATTTTATAATTTTAAATAGATTTTAATACAGTGCAGACAACCTAGTCCCGACAAATAAATTTGACTAACTTCAAAATGCTAATCCTTGTTCATTAAAAACAATAAACAAAAAATCTCTTCATAGAGCATTAAAACCATGCAAGCTAAACATCTTGGTGGTCTTAAATTTTTTTTTAAATTTATTTTTAATAAAATAGTAGCCGAGGCAATTTTATAATTAAATAAGCAATTTGGCCGCTTAAAATATACTATTAAACAAGCAAATTTGGCCATTTTTTACGCTAAATTTGGTCGCTCTATATGTTAAATCTGGCTACTCTATATATTAAATTGACTACGTTAAATTAATAATTTGGCCATTTTATGTCAAAATTTCAAATTTGGCCGTATCATATATATATAATTTAAATTTTAAATTTGGCCGTTAAAATTTTCATTTGTTGGGACTAGATTGTCCGCACTGTAAGATCTTAATGAGATATACTTTATAGATATATTTATTTTTACAAATTACAAAGTCGCAATAATATACATTGTTATCTTTATATAAGCTATAATCTTGTATTAAGAGTAAATGGATGGTTTTTATGTGCAGTTACGCAGTATATAATATGTAGTTATTGGGTGCAAAGCAGCCAATAACTCGAGTTATTTGGCAAGCACTATCATAGTAAGCTGCCGGATAACAACCAATTATTCACCGTTTTATTGTTTTTTTATGGGGATTTGCGTGTTATTTTTCAACCGGGTAAAATTCACCTAAATTTATTTCAGATTATGTGATATGATTCTAATAAGCACCATTTCATCGGTCATTTTTTAAGCTAGAATATGATAAAATGATGCACATATTACATGATCTGAAAAAGATTTGGGTGGTGAATTTTACCCGGTTTTATTTTTCAAAACTTAATTTTAAACCCAGCTCCGACCGTCAATTAGTAAACGGGAGAATAAATAGTACCAGATCTCCCACTGAATTTACGTTAAGTAACGAAGAATCTTCTCCAGAATTAACAATGATTTGGATTATTGGATCTGATTTCCAATGACCTATTTAAATCGGTGAGTGATTCTTTAATTCCTAAATCTTGATATGTTGTTACATGAATATTCAATGTCTAGTATTGTGCGGATTAATATCTAAAATCTTATGAGAATAGCTAAAACATGGTATGTACGTATATGTACCTAATTTTGATAGTAATGCTAGGGTTTTAGAGAAAGGAAGCAGTGTAAATTTAATCACATTACTTGTTATATAATATATAATAGCTAATATTTCAAATTTAAGAATTCTTTAAAATGTTATTTTATTACTAGTTAAAATGACAAAATATATACTATTAAAAAAACATTCTTATATTAATCCTTTAACTTAGCCCGTTTTTTATGTTTTTTTTCTTGATCTCTAATCTCTTGGTCACGTTCCGCTTTTCTTTTTTGACGCTCTTCTGTTTCTTTCCTTTTTTGACGTTCTTCTATCTCTTTCTCTCTTTGTGCGGCACGTTCAAGCTTTTTTTGTGCCTGTAACTCACGATCAAAAGAAGCACCCTCCACATAATTATTTGATTTAATGCCTAAGGCTTTCATCATCTTTTCATTTTCGACAGCCTTCGCTTGGCTAAGTTGATGTACTTGATGTTCTTGTATGCTACATTTTTTAAATAAAATTAGTAAATTCAAAAAGAAAAATAATAATAAGAAAAGAATTTATAGTAGATTTTATTTATTACTTTTTATCATCTTTAACAGCATCGACTGCTGAGAGCAATGCATTACGAAAAGCATTTACTCGCTCTTCAATTTCTTCTTCAGTTTGTCTATATTAGAATAATAAACATATCGGTCATTAACTATTCAGTACAAATCGTTTAAAAATAGATTTTAGATTTCAACATACCCATCCTCTTCAAGTTGCCGTCGTAAGTCAATACACTTAATCTCAACTTGTCTCTTCTTCTCATGCTTTAAAATATCTTTATTCGGTTTGCGGTTCAATAATGAAGAGGATTTGGATTTGATTTCATCCAATGACTCATATTGAACATTGTCTCTACGTGTCTTAATATATGAAAGATTACGAACGACATAACCGTTCGTTCCAGATCCACGAGGTGTAGAAAGACCTACGTTACCGTACATTATTTGTTGTTTTTAGAAAAAGTTCTAAATACTAACTGTATTATTTTTTTTCTCAATACTGCAATAACGATAAGAAAATGCACATTATATAGCGATAGTTTTATTTGAAACCCAAAAAATGGTTGTCGATCTTTAAATTTTCATTGGCTGCTGACAAATCATAACAGTCAAAATTAGTTACACAAAAATAAGCCATATTATGATTGGTTGGTGTTAAGGCAGTATTATAAAATATATGTAATATATATTATATATATATAATTTGCTAAGTGTTAGTGGCATGACAGGGTGGCATCCTGGCATGAATTTAAACAAATGGCATGCCAAAAATTTTTGAGCGTGCCATCCTACACACGATATGTCACATGTAAAATTATTTTACAAATTTAGGCAAATTTTGCTTCTAGGCTTATTTAACAACAAAGTTGTCCGTTTATTTTCTGGGTATCATTTTGCAAATTCTCTAGCATTTGAGGGTTCTTCATATGAAATTTTAAAGGTATCAACTTTTGATAAAAGATTAATTTTGAACTACAAGAGATTGAGAAACAAATTTATAAGTAACATTTCTATAACTGATAAGAATTCTGCGTAATTTAGCTAATTTATGTTGGTTAAAAATCAACCACAAATATTGTTTCTACATTAATTTGATAATGTATCCGCGTTCAATATTTGAATATTTTACTTTATATGAATTTTTTACCACGCATTGTGGCAATAAATTAAATTAACTTAAAAGAGTGATAAAGAAGACTGACACAGTCCTTACCACAAGACTCCCCGGTAAAGTTTTCGAAAAAAATTTAAAAATGATAAATTTGCACAAGTGGATAAAAAAAGGTTGGCTACAAACACTAATTATAGCACTAATTACAGTATTCAGCAATGATAAATACAATTATACATCAGGCCACCCCAAGTGTCGTTGATAGTACAGTTCATATTCTTGCCATGATGCATTATCTAACCATTCTCGTGCTTCTAACCATATCCAAAACTTAAGCACCCATGCATCACTAGAAATTTCTTTGATACCTTCCCTCATTCCTCGTCCCGCTTCTTGTGCACCAAATTTTCTCAGTATTGGTAACGCATGTTTTAATAAATCCATTTGCGGATCTAATTGTCTTCCAATCCCTTCCAACACTAATATTGATATTATCACATTGACAAAGTCACCTTCTAATTTTACGTGATGATGCCTGACCATTTGTAATACTGTCCTTAATATATCAGAGATAAGTATTTTTCCCAATTGTAATGTTAGAGATTTAACGTTCAATATCAAATGTTGCATTTTTAATGCAAACACATCACCCGATACTACTAACTCTGGAGTTTTACATCGTTCTATCATTAACTGTCCTGCTCGAAATCCATTAAACTCAGCTACTGCCTGAAACAAATCGAGAAAATTTTTTCTGTTTACTTCATTTAAACTTGTTACTAATCCAGCATCTATAAAAACTAATTGTGGTTGATATCCTTCATCGTACAACTTTACAAGCTCATCATTCCAGAGTTTTTTATCATGACTACATTCTAAAAGTCGCTTAGTAGCAATTTCAGTTTCATAAGTACTAAAAAGTTCATCATCCATCATTTTGGTGTTGATACTTGACCAAGATGGAAGAAACATAGATTTATTAGGTTTGATGAATTTAACTATGATATTACCAGGATGAAGATCAGCGTGAACGAAATTGTCAAGTATAAGCATACGCTATGATAATTAATTGTAAAAAAAATAAATAAGTAAGAAAATAAAATAACAAAGAAAATTTAAAGACTTACGAGAAATGCGTCAAGGCCTGTTGATTTTTTTTTAAAAAAAAGAGCAACAATAAATGTGATTAAATAAAGTTTCATAAAGGAAATTTGAAACAAATAATCCTTAAAAACTTGCCAGTATGTGCAATAGTTTGATCATATACTCCACCACCTTGTTTAAGAATTAATCTAATAGATAATCCTTCCTCAAATTCTTCAATTAGCATATCTTTGGTAGAATATTCTAGGACAGGCATTGGAAATTTCACAAATTTATTATTTTTAAAATTCTTTTGAAAATTTTGCAAATTTCCTGCTTCGATTCTTAAATCCAATTGATCTCGCATCATTTCTCCAAATTTTGCTACTTCTTCAGGAAGAGAAAGCCATTGCATATTAGGAAGAGAATTAATTAAATTTGCAAATAACATCAGGATTTTAAGATCACGTTGAATAGCTTTTTCTGCTGTTGGATGCAGTACTTTAACAGCAACTACGGGAAATCCGGTGGGAACATTGAAACGTTTTTTGGTTATAGTTCTTAAATCACCTTGATAATATTCTATAGGAAGTATATCAGGTTGAATCTTGGCTTTATATACCTATATTAATATGTAATTATTCATTGAATGTTAATTAATAAAAAAATTCTTGTATTAATCAAATATAATTTAATTACTTGCGCAATAGCACCAATCCCAATCGGTGTCTGATCAAATTCCGAAAAAATCTCATGAAATGGTTTATTAAATGCTTTTTCAATTATTCGTTTCGTATCTTTGAATGGATGTGGACCTACAGCAGAGTGAAGTTTTGACAGATGACTGCACATCTCTTGAGGAAATATGTCAGTTCTAGAGGCGGCCCATTGTGCAAGCTATTTAAAAAAAAAAAAGATTATCTAATGTTGATTTAACTAAAACGCGAGAATATATAAACCTACCTTTATAAATGTTGGACCAGCAGATTCCATCTGACGGACAAGCATTCTATACCACAAAATAGTTCCTGTCCTTTCATTGCCATTTTCAGGTAATCTTGGTCCAAACAATATGACCGGAGATCCAATGACCAATGGTAAAAATAAAATTAACAAATATGTAAATCTGCAAACAATTAAAAGTGGCTCAACAAAATTTTCTGATATAAATATAATAATATGATTTATCCAATTCTTTATTATATTAGAAGAATCATCATTAGTTGTAGAAGAATGCGTATGTATAGAATGCAGTGACGGTAATGTGTGTTGGACTTTATCAAGTTGTGCATCATCTATTGAAGCAGCAGTGATGGCATATCGAATATTCGGTAATGCAAATATAAAAACTTTTTTGAGGTCAATTATTGTTTTTTGCCATAAAGTCGATCTCTTTAGGTAAGGACATCTATTTAATTGTCTCCATTCTTCAAATTTATTTTGGTTTATTGTACTAATTCTGATAAACCGATAATTTTTAATAGACTCGAAATAAAAATTTTTTGGATATTTAAAAATGGTCTGTGCAGTTTGACATCTTCTGGTAATGACCAAAATAAATCTGTAAGGCCTCATACGTAAAAGCGGTGTTACCTATTGAAAATCTTAGATAACGATAATTTTATACTGATTGTCGATCATGCAATGAATAGTGTTATGGAAGTTAACGCTAATAAAAGAATTCAAACTATGTCATATATACGTACGTACTGTACGTACGTATATACGTATTGATTATTTAATTGATATTTTCGTTAATGAATCGTAATTAGTTAGTTCATACAAGTATATTTTGACACTGTTATATTTAACACTTAAACGTTTAATCAAACTGTATTTTGCTAGTACAGTATATACTAATAACAAGATTTCGTATGATCAACCACTGGGCGCGTAGAATAAAGATTTTTAGTATATAGTGAAATTTGTGTTCTATATTAAATAAAAAGATTGATTGTACTTTGTCTTTAATTCCTCTCATAATACTATAATACTTAACATTTTAAATTCTATAAAAGCAAGATGTTTAATACAAAGCATCTTTTACATAATAATCAGAGTTGTCACGTTTATATGTTTTTTCTATTGGCTTCTAATTCTATTCATTTTTTTTATTTTTCTATTGTAAATTTTAAG